GGCTTTACTTCTCTGAAATTCCCATTTTTAATTGTGGAATAAGGGATTTATCTATACCATTCTTCATGTTCCTTTTACTCTAAAACAGCTCCCATGACATATCATGAATTTTTTTTATCTTCCCCACCCAACTCCTAAACTCCTAATAGCTAACATTAATCTCAATAGCCCTAGGGTTTTTAAGAGTCAATATTTATAATATATATCACTTGTTTTACATGCACACATACAATGACACATTCTCATTTGTGTTTTTCTTGAGAATAATGATCTATTCTTTTTTCCCTAGTTATTTTAAGCTCCCGCACCAAAGAAAATTCAATAAAGGGCAATGAATAACATTAAGTAGATAAGCACTTAAGAGAAAAAGGAACTTCAAAGTGAATAAACCTACTCTCTTAATACAGGAGGGCCTAGAATAATGCCAGTAACAAGATTTAGAGTTCTCCTGGTGCCACCTAGTGGACATTTGCACTAAATTCTACTTTAAATTACTTTTAATTAGGCTTTCTATATTTTGTCATTTTACACCACCTCTATGCAGTTCTAAAGCAAACTTTAAGTTTGCCTGAAAAACAGATTTAGGCTATTAAGTAGCCAATCAACTGAAGAATATTCCTTTTTAAAACGATCCTGCCTCAGAGCATTGGCTTTAAATCAACTAAATGAAAATAGCACAAATAATAAAAAGAAAAATATAATAATAATAAAATGGTACACTGACACAGAAGACTTTCTTCAAACTTAAATAGCTATTCACCCTTCCAATTAGTCTCCCCTAACAGTTTAAAACTAATCAACATTATTCAACTTAATACAGTTTAATCTTCATGCTTTATTTTTTTAATCTTCATGCTTTAATGGAAAGAATTATCAACCCCGCCATCAAATAAAAACACAAATCTTTGAACTGAAAGTGATTTTAGAGATCCCTTACATAGACCAGCAAAGGATGCTAGTCTCCAAATGTACATCTCATTTACTCTAAAATGGAATTCAAGACAGCTTAATAGATCCTTTCTTACGTCTACAATAGCTACAATTGAACCCGAGGGAGCTCTTAACCCACAATTTACCACCAAAAAAAGAAGGAGGAGGAGGAGGAGGAGGAGGAGGAGGAGGAGGAAGAAGGAAGAAGAAGATCCGACTACCCCAGGAGACATTTAAGAACATTCATCACTCTTAAGATCTACATTTAAGAAGCTGATCTCTCAATTTGTATTTGTGGTTATGATCACCTAATTATTTTCTCTTGTTTGGTGCACAGACCTGGAAGATGTCCCTCCCATAACTGCAAGAAGAGGAAATGACACAGGTTACCAGATGAGAGTCTACCAACATCAAAGGCCCCAATATCAAGGCCAGCATGGCAGTAAAGCAACCTCATCCCTCAAACTGGCCAACAGATGAGAGAAACATGTCAAGAAGCTCAATTCCAATGCATCATTTTGGCCAGATTTCCACAAATGTCATAGTAACTTCATAGCTAAGTTTAATCAAATGAAAAGATGCAAGTTTAAAAAGGAAATAAGATGTTAACAATCAAGTCAATCTTCTTTCATCTTTAAAAATATGTATAGTTTAATTTCTCTGGACAAAGGAGATAAAGAGTGACCAGCATTTCATTTTAAAAACATAAAACAATATTAACTTTTTATCTAAAAACCTACCGAATAATTTTATAATTATCAGTTTCTTATTAGATAAAACATATTTACCAGTTAATCACCACATTATTGATTCTATGAAACTTTAAAGGGGTTTCCTCTATCCCATTACTATCAAATAATGATAATTAAAAAAAAAAAAACATTAATCCAGCTCTTTATGTTTTCCTCAGAAAACTTTCTTTCAAGGTAAATTAAGACCTGTTGATTGCATTTTTTATGGTACTAATAAAAATAATGATCACTTAGCCTCTACATCTGTCCTCTGAGAGGTGATATACTTGCCATGTCATTCTAACTCTACTGAAGGACCTTGAACAGCAGACTATATATTAAGATTTGCCCCTCTGGCTCATTTCACTGGCCAACTAAATCACAAGTATGAAAAATGAATACACCTCTGAAACACCATTTAAAATACTACACTCAGAGGAGTCGTTATGGAGTGAATCACCTCCTCACATTTTGGCTCTAAATCCAAACCACAAGCACTTGCCACCACAATCCCTCTACAACCCTCCATTTCACTGTATACCTGTGGGGCTTGGCCAGCTGCCAGCTCTCCTGCTCTTTTGCTAGGAGAGGCCCTCTCCCTTGGCTGTCTCGGGGGTTTGCAGACCTTTTGGTAGGAAAGTATCTCTTCCACCACCAGTATGCCAGACAATCTCATGATATTTAAAAGTCATTTTCCCCTCTCATATAACAATGAATTTGCAAGCTGTCTGACACTCTGAGCTATATTTGTCAACAAAGTGTCTTTCAGCAGGATTAATTAGTCAGGCATAAAGGCTTTTAAAGGGAGGGGGTAAAAAACATAAGCACGTACAGCCTTTCTAGTTCCACATTTTGCATTCGTCATGGATCACAGCGTGTTCCAGAGATGGTAATACAGTTGGAGAACTGAACTATGCACGGAAAGGATAAAATGCCAGTATTACTTTTCGGTAGCATAAGTCTTTTCTGGGGTTATTAACAAAACGGTTGCCCCCAATTTCTCTCATAAAAGCATATTCCTAAAAGATAAATCTTTCCAAGGAAAACCCATCTTTTCGGGGAGCCTAGGTGGCTCAGTCGGTTAAGTATCCTGCCTTTAGCTCAGGTCATGATCGCAGGGTGGTGGGATCGAGCCCCGCATTGGGCTCCCTGTTCAGCGGGGAGTCTGCTTCTCCCTCCCCCTCTACCTGCCATTCCCCGCTGCTCGTGCGCGGGCTCTCTCTCTCTCTGTCAAATAAATAAAATCTTAAAAAAAAAAGAAAGAAAGAAAGAAAGAAAACCCATCTTTTCGAAACTTCAAAGATAAACCCTGAAACAACTGCTTTAGGTAGAGCGGCCCACACCATCCGTCTCAGTGTGCCAGGGGCGGTCCTGGTGTATGCGTGTGGTCTCGTTGTACTTTATTAAAGCATCCTCTTTATTTCTCAGAAGTGTGTGTCCCACTTAGGACAATAAATTACAAACTCATCCTAGCTTTAGGTAATATATCCTTTTTGTTTTTTACCACATTTTTACCACAGCCACATTTTTACCCTGAACAGCTTCCCATATTTTGGAACACCATCCCAAGAAAACACATTCCTAATAATAATGCTCCGCCCCTTCTCTTCCAGATGGTAACAAAGAACAAAAGACCTCTGTATCATTCTCATCCATGATGATCCTACACTAAAATAGGTTCCTGAGACACACATCTCCCACCATAGCTGACTCACACCTAGTAAAAAAAAGCTTATTATAGATATCAAAAGAATATAGCCATCCCCGAGTCATGCAACCTTAGTTTCCTGTAACAAAACACAAAAGGAGAGAAACTAAAAAACATTCTACCATCTCCAAGAACTGTACTCCTCACTGAACACTCTCCTACAAATCTTTCTATTTGTTTAACTACTGGATGTCACCAAATCAGCACATCTACGGGCAGAAGATACCCTTCTCCTCCTTTCTCAGGAAAAGAGTATCTCCGAGGCAACAGCCAGATCAGGTTATCCCAGATAGTTACCTTCCAAGGAAACCAGCTCTAAAAACAGAATCACACTGGGATCCCAAGCAGGGATGTTTCAAAGCCTGGCAAGGATCTGCAGATCAAAACAGGTTACGAAGAACAGGTATTTGGATTGTAAAGTAAAATTACTGTCAGCAGTGTTTTCCTATGACCTTGGCTGATTCAGTATAGAGTCAAAGACATTGAGGACCTAATGGAAATCCCTGGGCCTAAGGTTCCCATACATTACACAAAACACTAATGAATGGACTTGGTTTTTAAGTCAATGGGAGCCACTATGAAAAACAAGAAGAGCTAATGTGGTGGCAACAAAAGAAAAACAAATGTTATGAGGCTGATATGCTACCTACTGCACTAACAAGGCACTTGAAAAATTTTAAATGCTTCAGCCTACACAATGGATGGGAACTTGCTGCTCCTACCAAATTAAGATGGGAATTTACTGCAATAAATCTATATCAGTGTCTGTTGACATATGACATCAGTACATATCCCCACAAAAAGATCACTGAAATGAGATTATGGCTACCTCCCATATTCAGCATCCTCCTCTACCATAAACTGTTATCCATGAAAGAGATCGAGAAATATCTAGTCTATGATTTTACTTTTATATAAAACAAACCTAAGCCTCCTCAAACAAATCTAACTATCTATTTTTAAAGACTCTTCCTCCCTGTCTCCAAATCTCTTTTTCTTAATTCCAAATTCTTCCCTGGAAGAAAACTAGCTAAGGAAATTTAAAGACAAAAATGTATGTATTTTAAATCTTCATAAAAATTCAAGGATGGCTTAACATAGGAATAAAACAAGGGATTAAGCATTCTTGAATTAAAGTGATTATAATTTCAAAAACTGCTTTGGTTCAGACTCATGTTATTATAAAACATACTAAAAACATTAAAACTGCCCTAGGTTTATTCTTTCTGGGAACATGACTAAACTTTTAAAGCCAGTCTTAAAATTCATTGTTTAAATGTCAGATACTGCTAGATAAACTTTAGCAAAATATTCTTAACGCTAGACAATATGAATTCTGAACATTCATTTATACCACATTTTATCAAATCTAATATGCCATTAATTGTAGGATAAATCATTATTTTATATATCACACTAAGAAAGAAAAAAAGCTGTCAATTAAATGTAAGATATCATCGACCCAGTATCATGTACCCAACATCAGTGATACTAAAATGTTAAGGAAAAAAGTATCTTAGAATTGGTGAAATACTCTCAAATTCCTATAGCCATCTATTCTTTTGCAATTCAAATATGATTTATAGTCTGCAATCAAAACCATGAAATGAAAAAAATTCAAAATGTCCTACCTTCTGTACTACACTCAGGAAAGCTATCAACGAGGGAATCTGAATAAGCTTCAGCAGGACCAATCAATTCAGAACCATCATTAATTATTCCACCCTAAAAAGAGGAGAGTAATTGTGTTTCACTGTTAATAAGAGTATTTTAAAAATGAGTAATAAATGAACAACAGTTACTCAACATTACAGAAACTATGCATCTGTTAAACTAGATAATAGTTGCTTTTAAAAAAAATCAATAGGAATATCAGTATTGAGTCATCAATTGTAACAAACGTACCACACCAATGCAAGGTGTTAATAATAGGGGGAATCTCTGTGAAGGGAAAAGGGGATATACAGGAAGACACTATACTTTCCTTTTTTTATTTTTTAAGATTTATTTATTTAAGAAAGGACAGAGAGAGCGCGCACACGCACACACACACACAGGGGGAAGGGGCAGAGGGAGAGAGAAACTTAAGCAGACTCTGCACTGAGTGCAGAGCCCGACACGGGGCTCGATCTCATGACCCTGAGATCATGACCTGAGCTGCAATCATGAGTCAGAAGCTTAACCAACTGTGCCACCCAGGCGCCCCTGAAAGCACTATACTTTCTGCACAATTTTTCTGTAAACTAAACTGCTCTAAAAAATAATCTATTATTATTGGGCGCCTGGGTGGCTCAGATGGTTAAGCGTCTGCCTTCGGCTCAGGTCATGATCCCAGGGTCCTGGGATCGAGTCCCACATCAGGCTCCCGGCTCAGCGGGGAGCCTGCTTCTCCCTCTGACCCTCTCCCCTCTCATGCTGTTTCTCTCTCGCTCGCTCTCTAAAAAATAAATAAATAAAATCTTTTTAAAAATAAATAAAAATAATCTATTATTAAAATCTATTTTTAGCCTATTAACATTCAAAAGGAATATTATGTTTATAATATCATGTGGCTTCTTATAAAAGCATTTTTTTTAAAAATCTATCAAAAATACTCATTTAAAAAATGCAAGGGAAAAAAAACCACCCACTAACTAAAGACTATTGCTTAGTATCCTTAGTGACTGGTCATTCTAATTAGTGATAAATGATGGGACTCCATTAGAAGTCCTTTAATTTTATCAAATTAAAAACTACAATATATCACAGAGAACCTCAGTGATTCCAGAAGTACCTTAAATGTGAAAAACACTTAGACATAATAATGTATGTGAAACTAAACAAATTTAAGACATTTGTATTATTTTTAATAAATACAAAATTGATTTCTCTGGGTGGCCATTATTTTAATTCTATATTTAGGTTTGCAAATTCAACCCCCAAAAGGCTGTCTTCTCTTACTCTATGTGCAACTAGAGAATGGTACTTATCAGGTAAGTGGTGGTGGTGTGATTTTGTGCTGTGGGTTCATGGACTGCTCCAAACATCAACATAAGGGCTTATAATCCTTAAATAATTATAACTAAAAGAATAGCTCTTCTGCTCCTTAACATCTTTCCTTCTACCTTCCACCAATAGTTCCATGCCCCCAAACACAATACCAGGATAGCAAAACCCAAGAGAAACACAAGACCCCTATTTCCTCTCTCCTTCAGCATAAAGAACTCAACAACTCTCTTTAACATAATCAAAAGTCTCCCTGCCCACTTATCTTTAAGAAAGAGAAATTTTAAATGGTCCCTCTCAAATTACCAACTTTTACTTCCCAGAGTGTTAAGTGAACTGAAACTGTAAAACAATTATTCTCTTTATTATTTTTTTTTTTTAATCAGAGAGAGAGAGAATGTGCACAAGCAGGGGGAGTGGCAGGCAGAGGGAGATGGAGGCTCCCCACTGAGCAAGGAGTCTGATGCAGGACTTGATCCCAGGACCTCAGGATCAGGACCTGAGCAGGAAGGCAGTCACTTAACCGTCTGAGCCACCCACAATTATTCTCTTTAGAGGCAAGAATTTATACTACTTTGTTCTATTTGTTTATTAAAATACTCAAATCACATTTGAGTTTTTCTCTAAAAAAGAAGAGTATCTATTTCAGACTAAGCCATCCAAACCAAATCTTAAGAAAAAATGCAAATATTCTTGAGAATTTTAATAGACAAATCTGATTTTATTTATAATCTCACTTAACAGGAAGTGCCTTTCAACTATTAACTACCTCTTGAACCATGAGGTGTGTGACTTTAAGTTACCTATCTATGAAATGGAAATATTATCTATAACTCATCAGTTGTTAGGACTAAAAGATTTCATACATGTAGAGTGTTTAGAACAACATAAGCATGCAATAAATGTTTATTTGTTAATAATATTAGCTGATGTAAGATCTGTTTACAAGATAAAATAAAAAAATACTAAAGAATGCAAAAAATGTTTTAGCTCAGAATCCCAGAGAAATTTTATTTACCTAATTTAACAAATGATATTATACAAAATAATACAGACTAAATCTTTAATTAAACAAAATAATAAAAACTGTACCATAGGAACTCGAGGGAAGTAGTGGAAAAATATGCCACAATTCTATTTTAATCTCTATTAATTGCTATTTTGATCATTTTGATCTCTAGACCAAAAACATGAACCATTTGGTGTTCTTCACTACGCAGTAGACAGAAACTCTTATTACACAGCATCTCAAAGTTTTTTGTTAATGAAATGTCAATCTGGAGGGTGAAGGGAGTTCAGGTATGATGGAATAAGTAAATTAGCAAATGCTCTCCCCAAAAGGCAATAACTACAGAAAACTGTCAGGGACCATTTCAGGGCTCTGGAAATTGACCAAAAACATAAAACAAATGAAGAAGTGGTTACCATAAAACCACAGGTAAGAACTGTGGGAGTCTGTGGCATTCTTGCCTGGGGTTACTCCCACCTTCCGTCCCAGCTGGGTTGCCATGGTAATTATACAAGGGCAAGGCAAGCTTTGAAATTCAGCAGATTCACTTGCAGAGGAGGCTGGCATGATTTGGACTGAAGCACAGAAAAAGTCCACCCCAAACAGTATTATCAGTAATAGTAGTGATCCCAGTGCCAACACACAGTGGCTCAGCAAACACGAAGTTGCGGCAAGCAAAGAACCAGCATATCAGGCAAACATTTCGCAGGGAGATACAGAAAATACACAGCCATATGGGTTCTTAATATGCTCTCTACCCATCCATGCAGAAGAGACTAGAGAGAAATCGAGCTATCTACAAATCCCTGGCAAACCATGATGATGCACACACACAGAGGAAATCCAAGAGATCCTAGAGGAAAGCAAAAGCCAGGGCAAACTTAAAAACTGCTTGAACTTTGAAAATACACCAAGAATCATCAGCATGTGGAAGAAGCATATAATGGAACAAAGTGTTTAAATCAAGCAAAGACCAATCACTGGCTGACGACTAACTCAGGCTGATACAGGACTAATCCCTAGTTAGCCAGGTTTAAAAATACAATAAAAATTAAAATTGAGCAGAGATATCAGCAATCACTGCCCATTAAACAGACTCTACAGATTCAGTACAGACACTTTACTAAACACACTAACAAAACAATACTAACAACCCTCAGGGCAAAAATCAGAACTCCGATCTGCTATATTATCCAAAACTTCTAGTTTTCAACAAAAAAAATCATGAGACATACAAAGAAATAAGAAAGTGTGTGCTCCATACATGGGGGATGGGGAAGGGAAGAAATCAATAGGCACTAACTCTGAGGGGGCAAAGATACTGGACTTAAAAGGCCAAGACTTCAAAGCAGCTATTTATAAATATGTTAAATAACTGAAGGAAGTCGTGATTAAAGAATTTTTTAAAGTATGATGTCTATGACTCATGAAATAGCAAATATAAATATGTACAAATTATTAAAAAGAACCAAATGAAACACTATTCGTAAGTGCCAAAGTGGAGATAATTCAAATGTCTGTCAATTGATTCATAGATAAACAAAATGTGGCATACTCATATCCACTTAATGGAATATTACCTAGCCATAAAAAGGAATGAAGCACTGACCCATGCTACAACATGGATGAACCTTGAAAACATTAAGCTAGGTGAAAGAAGCCAGATGCAAAAGGCCACATATTGTATGATTCCATTCATGTCATGTCCAGAATAAGCAAATCCATCAAGACAGAAAATAGATTAGGCGTTGCTAGGAGTTAGGGCAAGTGGGGAAGGAAGAGTAAGTGCTAATGGGCACAAGATTTCTTTATGGGGTGATGAAAATGTTCTGGAATTAGACAATGATAATGGTGGCATAACCCTGTGAATATACTAAACACTACTAAACTTTGTACTTCAAAATGGTGAATTTTATGTCACGTGAATCTCAATTTTAAAAACAGAACCGATGGAAATCATAAGTTGAAAAGCATAGTAACAAAATTTAACAGATTTGAGAATGATGAATAATAAATGAACTTAAAGATCAATAGAAACTACCCAAAATGAAAATCATAGGAAAAAAAGACCTAATAACCGTAAAGAGAATCAAAGAGCTATAAGGATAATATCAAGCATACCAATATGTACCAGACATGAGTGAGAAAAAAGCTGAAAAAAATATTTGAAAAGATGCAGCAGAAAACTTTCAAACTTTGATGAAAAATAATAATCTACCAATACAAGAAGATAAATTAAACTCCAAGTGGATAAACAGAAAGAGATCTACACCTTGAGTCACACTACTGAAAGACAAAGGCTAAATTCTGAAAGCAGCAACAGAAAAAGACTTCTATACCAGAACTACAGTAAAAGTAACAACTTCTCATAAAGAACAATGAAAACCAAAAGGCACCGAAATGATAAATTCAAAATGCTAAAAGAAACAATTAATCAATAATTCTACATATCCAGAAAAACTATTCTTTAAAAATGAAGGGCAGAGGCACCTGGGTGGCTCAGTCGTTAAGTGTCTTCCTTCGGCTCAGGTCATGATCCCGGGGTCCTGGGATTGAGCCCTGCATCGGGCTCCCTGCTCAGTGGGAAGCCTGCTTCCCCCTCTCCCACTTCCCCTGCTTGTGTTCCCTCTCTCGCTGTATCTCTCTCTCTGTCAAATAAATAAATAAAATCTTTAAAAATAAATAAATAAAATAAATAAATAAATAAAATAAAATAAAAATGAAGGGCAAA